CCCAATCCTCTAACATTCCATGATAACACAGACAAACTTGATTCCATATTAACTAATCACACATCATTCTATTAAAAACAGACTGAAACATTTGATCAAGACTTACCCCTTCTCTCGATCGCTTCCAGACCCTTGATCGCGTCAACCCTCGACCCAGAGAACTTCACACCCAAAGCCTCACCCACCGAAAGAGACACCTCCGCTTCCGAACCAGAAGTTGATTTTCCATCGGAACACCCAATCAAATTCAAAACCCCACTGCCCTTTTGCTCTACATGTAAATCGAAGCCAATTGATTTCTTTTTAGAAGTAGCAGTGATTCTTGTAGAAGCTTTCTACCTCGGACGCAACGACCCCTTCATTATGTGTTTGCGAGAAAAAACTATGGGAATAGCGTTACTTTGATGCTTAAATGACCCGGGAGACCCAAAATCACCTTCTTGATAACCGACCAAATTTGCTGCATCAGCTAATTTGAGAGAAGAGATTTCTTCAATCTGCACGTCCTGGAGCCTTGAGCTATGGGAAATGGACTTTTCCACCCAAGAATTATCCAAATCTCTGTTGATTGACATAAACCCAAAACTGTCATCAACGACCTTATACCCGGGCCCAAAATTAGAAACTACAGGGACATCGTGAAGCCTGTCTACAGAATCAGCACTATGCACCGCCAAAGCTTCTGTCTGTTTCACTCCATGTTCCAACGCACCGTTGACTTGAACACTCATCTGACTTACTGGATTGACTAGTTCCATCACATTACACCCTTTCACCAAAACTGGACCTGCTACATTTTCATCCTCGAAAGCCAAATCCTCATCATCTCTCACGATCGGTGAACAACACTTTCCTCCACCCACTAATGTCCCATCTATGAAAGTTCTGGTTTCCTCCTGCAACTCAGTACTAATTTTGATTGTATAAACAATCCCCATGAAAAAGATGAGAACTTTTTCTGGAATCATTGACTCATATTTCACTTCCAGCAGGATCTTGGCAACATCGAAACGATCATGGTTTTTAGTTTCGTCGTCGATCATTAGAACTTTCCCCCACCGGCTACCAATATCTGAAAAAAACTTCACACTCCATATAGCTAATGGAATGTCCTTCAACGAAACCCAAATCTTGACCTTTACTTTGTTCTCAAAACCTTCCAGTAATTCTAGCTCATCAAACCATGTTTGTAACCATTCATCTCGACATGACCAGCACGCTTGACGATCTTGACCATCTTGAAATTGAACAATCACTAATAAATCGTGCCAAGGGCTAACCTTCACATCAAATCCTTCAGCTCTAAAAGCTGTTTGAACAATGTCTTCATTGAAACTGTTCTTGATTTTACCCACCAAACTACACTCCATCCACGATAAGGCTTGTTTAGGAATGATAATATTTCTGTTGGATGCCTTGTCTCTACTGAAGAGATTTGGCCCTCTATCCTCTCCAATGTTTAAATAAATTAACCCCTCAAATGACCCCCTTGCATAACCTGTTTTCGCCCTTCCATCTCATGAAAATCTCCATCACCGCCCTTTACTCCTCCCACAACTTCCTTGAAAGATCTTAAATCCCTTAACGCTGGCTTCCATACTTTAACGTCTCTCTTAACTGTAACCCCCTCATATTATTATAAGCAAACACCTTATCATGAAACACTTTAATCTTAAAACCATCCAACACCCTACCATTCGCTCTAATAATTGTTGTGTTCGCTTCAGATTTCTTCCTGAACCTGACAAATGCAAATGTAGAATCCGCGTACAGCCTTTTCCTACTATTATACGCAATAAAAACATCAATCACTACACCATACTCTTGAAATGCTTCCTTAAGAGCTGGAACACTGATCCTTTTGCTAACATTGTTTATGAAGATCGTGAAAAAGTTGGAAACTTGTACTTTTCTCTCGCCTGAGAAAACCATACTCTTAACCTGATATAGTGGATAGAAACATCAATCACTACTGTCTATTTTTATTTAATGCTTGCGTTGTTATATAAACGAACATGTTCATAAAGTTAAACGAAAACTAAATGAATATATTCACGAATGTCAAAAGAATATATTCATGAACGCTAAACGAATATATTCGCGAATATTTAAACGAACATGTTCACGAACGTTAAACGAACATGTTCACGAACGTTAAACGAACTAACACGAACATTATCAAATATAAATAAACGAACACGAACCGAACATGAAAACCTTAAAAAATTAACTAAAAAATTAACGAACAAACATGAACACACCATTGTTTGTTCAAGCTCGATTCAATTACACCTTTAGGTATTTGTTACAGTGCATGTGAAACTTGTTACGTCGACGTGATGAGTTCTATAAAATATATTAAAAAATTAAAACTTGTCACATGGACGTGACTAAGTTTTACAAATGTTGTAACAAACGTTGCAGATCCCAAAATAATTTCCAAATTATCCTATTAAACTAAATAATTTATCCACTTAGATTATTAAACTGATTTTGTCAAAATTAGTTAATGCGCTAACCCCGTTAATGTTTTATTACCCATTTTCCATTCTTATTTCATTTATTTGATTATATAAATTTATTTAGCCATCATATTAAAATGACCCTAACGCTTATTATTTTCTCTAAAGAATCCTTTGTTCTCTTTCTTTTTATTTTTTGATTAGTAGACAGTGATATTAGTTTTGTTGTTGATTGTCATCACCGTTTTTTTTTACTTTTATTTAGTATTTTTACTTTTTTATATATAATAATTCTATCTTTATGGTACGATTTTTTCTGTCTTCATGAAATGTTTTTTTTATTTTATTTTTTATTTGTTTGGTTGTTTTTGTAATTTATTTTTTTAGTTTTATATTTGACATTGTTGCGACTGATTAAGATAATGTTCATTTGTTATCCTGCTGATGTTCTATGTTTTGGGCTCTCGAATTAGATTAGGATACGTAACTTGCATTTATAGATGGTTTTCTCACGATACGTGGCTCTGATTTGCATTTGTCAGTGGTCTTTTAATAGTTTAATCTCATGTTGTGGTTTGTTTGCGTACCAATCAGATTTGTTCATGTCTACATATTATTCGATTTTTTTGAATGAGTTTTTAACCTTTTCATTGTTTAATTTATATATGATCTTAAGTGACTAATTTTTTTTGTCTTAATGGTTATAGAAGAATATCCTTAATATGTATTTAGTTTATGATTTCAGTTGTAAGCCCTCATTTTAATATTGGATTTTTTATAATAATAAAATTAGCTCTTTTTTCTATTAAAAATATATTTATCATGTTAGTGTTTTTATTAATGATTAATAATTAGTGATACAATTAATAATATATAAATTATTTAATTATTTTATTAAAAAATATTAATTTGATAATTTAATTAAAATTTATTCTACAATTAAATGATTACTCAAATAGTTAACCTAATAAAATGAGAAATTCGAGATTTGATAGTGATTGTTGTAGAAGAAAAGAGGCCCACAGTCCCACAGGTCAGTGAATCGAGCCCAACCTAAAAGCAAAACAATGAGGCAGCTAAGCTGAGGTTGAACATTGGGCCATTAATCATGACATTTAAGACTGGTCAAGCAATTACTAAACATTATATACGAACCAATCGACTTCAACGGTTATTTTTTGTTTGATATTCTTTGACGTCTCAATTCAAATGTCGTGTATGAATGGATATAAACATTTAGATTCAAATGATTGAAATCTTTTGAACATATATCATTACATATTCTAGACTAATAAAAAATTTACTCAAGTCGTTGGATTTTTTATAATTAAATTATTTTATTTAAATGTAATTAAATTCTTAAGTTTTATGTAATTTTTTAGTATTATATATATTTTAATGGCCAAAGTAGGGCTGTAAATGAGATGAGACAGATCGTGAGCTACTCGAGATCGACTCGATCAAGGCTCAATAAATACTCGGATCGAATGGACTCGACTCGAGATCAAGCTCGACTCGAGTCCTTAACGAACCGAAACTAGCTACTTGATATTTAACTCGAAAAGCTCGTGAGTAGCTCAAAAATATAAATATATTAAAATTTTATTTTTTTAACAATAAATCACTAATAATATTAATATTTATGTATTGATTTTTTTAAAATACAGTAAGATTTTCATGTATTTAAAGTTCAGGTTCGAGTTTGAGTTTGAGGCTTCAATCGAGTTAAGTTTAAGATTTTTTTTTTCATTTCGAGCCTTTTCGAGCTGCTCACGAGCTTCAGTTAAGGATTTCGAGTTCGATTCGAGCTTGAAAATTTTAAGCTCACGAGTTTTCGAGTCGAGTCAAGCTCTATTTCAGAGTTTTCGAGTTGAGTCGAGCTCGACTCGACTCGTTTACACCCCTAGGCCAAATGATGATTGTTATTCTTAGAAGTTTTGGATTTGAGCATAACATCTGTAGAGATGTTTAAGCGTTTATTCTCAAATAATTAAAAATATTTAAATAAATAATATATTATAATCATATCAAATTAATAAATAATTATAATAACATAATATGAGTATATATTAATTAAAAAGAAATAAAATATAACATGTTAGTTTATTTTTTGATTAAAATATTTTAAAGTCTATGAATATTGAAATTAAAAAAATGAATTTCATCATTTAATTTTTTATTAATTTTAAAATTCAATAAAATAAATTTTAGTATCCATTTATAAATTTTTAACTTTTAAATTAATAATTTGCCATTAAACTTTAATTATTATTTTATTATATTTCATGATTAATAAAATATAAAAAGGTCATGAAAAAATGTTGGAGGAGCTGACAGTGTGGGGCCTAACCCACTCATGCGTTATAGTCTTACAGATAAGTAAATTAGTAACTTAAGCGTTACCCATTTTGCATTTTTATCCTCCTTTTTTCCAATATTGCCAATCTGATTCTCTGTATTTTTCTCTTATATGTTCAACTAAAGCAGCCAAATACAATTACTCCATAAATCTTTGAACAAATATGTAAAAGTTAGCTGCTACTTTTCTCACTAATTATTTTATATCTTAAATCTAAAATTTTCGAAGAGTTGAATCGCTATGCCCATCAAAATCTCAGCCTTGGCAACAATGTAAGTCTTAGTTTTTGGTTTTAATCATTTTTTTATATCTTAAATCTATTTCTTTATGCGGTGGATTTCACTTTTATCGTCTCAGTTACTGATTGTTTTTCTTGCTAGATTTTAAGTTTTCTTTTCGTGAAAACCTAAAATTTCTAGCTCGAAATGATCAGATGTTAACATGCAACCTTAGTTATTGATCACTTCTTTAATTTCCCCTCTAATCGTATTGCTTTCTTCGTATTCCTGCCTTTTATTATGAATCGCTTCTCCGTTGAGTTGTCGTATAGATTTTTTCTAAAATTTTGATACTGATGAATTTGGTTGCAGATACATTGAATCATGCAGGAGGCATGCTGTTACACCGAGCACTGTATTTTTATCTGCTCTATTTAAGGTTTGTCCTGATAAGTAATTCTTAAATTTTAATGACTAAGTCGTATGAAGTTGCATGTATTTTTTATATTTTCCAATGCTTTGTAATTAACTCTGAGTGTTGAGAATTTAGATTAATGTTCTTGGAGGAAACTCCATCAGAGCTACTGATCACTGGACGAAGAACCTCAAATTGGCTTGACAGGCTTGTGATTTTTCTGATCAATCAGTCATGCTATCGGTGTTTTTTCAATTGCAATGTTGAATTTAAGAACTAGAAAGTTGAATATTCTTCACAGCTGCGTTATCTTGTGAGTTGTGCTTTAGTTATCCTACTGAGAGAGCAAGAAAAATGTTTGGCATTATGATTAATCTTTTCAAGTTCTTTGCTCAGACTTGTTTCAGATAGTAGTAGGTAAGGAAGGAATAATTTCTATTGTTAGAAATAGTGTGATCGAGATGTTATAGGAGTTGGATTTTGGGGGTTCAGTCTTGTTACAAAGTGTTTGATTGCTCACAGTGTGGGTAATCGTCCATCTAAAGCCCGGGGATGTTGTTATGGTTATTCATCTATTATCACACATGGAGTGATGCTTCTTGGTGAATCCTTTAGGTGTGTCTATTATGGTGGCATGGGGTTTGACACCCTTTGGTACTATTGCGCAAGTCTCATTGGTGAAAGATGGCAAGCTGTTATATAAAGTCTAATTTGAATGTTTTTAACCTAATATCATATCTGAAGTTTTGGCTTGAAAGACCGCATCCTTCTTTATCAAATGTGGTGAAGAGAGATCAATTTCTATGGTTAAATATGATAATCACTAACCGCATTTTCTTCACTCCGCCTTAGATTTCTTGTGCTGAAGAACATCAAGATTCTTTCTTTTTTGGGTGACTGTCTATAATTCTTTTCCTGATGGCTGTGCAAGTTAAATCTGATAAATATCTTTTTTTGGTTGAACATTTCAGGCTGATGTTCTTAGATCCCATCATGAGGTATGTGTACTGGAGATTTTATTGGACCATATGAAGGATATTGATTTTCACCCACTCCTTGAAGTGACTATGAGAATCAGTGAATCTGAGATTGAAGCTGTTGATGTGCTCAATGAATCATCTTGTGCATTGAGTGGAGAATATGCTTTGTTACTGATGCGATCTATTGGTCAGAAACTTCGAATAGTTGATCTCCAGGATTTATCATTTGGGAAAGACTTCTTGCGGTATAACAGTGTTTATTATGCATTAATATCCAGCAAAGTATCTGATTCAATACTTGTTTAAACGTGTCAGAATTTTTAATGTCCTACGTAAGAGCACTCCCTGTACTAGTGGAGATCTGCTTTGCAGTAGAATATTTTCGACATTCGGTTATTTTTGGTATTTGCCTTTTGTTTTATTTTGAATGATTCAATATTAATGGTTTTGTTTGAAAAAGTATCTTTTGACGTTAGCATTCGAGTGCAATAATTGGATGTGTTCAAATTGTAAGAAGGTGGTGGTAGAAAAGAGATGAGGTTCTAATTCTCATTTTTGAATTTTGTTCTATGAGTTCTAATAACTTGGTTCCTTTGTTAATTGCTTGGTACAATATTTTGAAGGTGATATATTCATTTGACATTTTTTTCTAAATAACAACAGTCTAGTAGGGACAAAGAGAGTGCAGGTTTGTATGAATCTTAAGGTATTTATGGTAAGTTCAAAATTCAACTAGGGTAGGGTAGGGTAGGGGGGTCATTGTAGTTGCACCATATGATAAAAATCAAGGAGTGAAGATGATAATCAACATAACGGGAGATTGACAAATACATTTAACTCTTCATTGAATTATAAGGAAACCAGTGAGTACTGTATAGTCATGAGTTAATTTTATCGATATATCGTGTAATCTTGTTGAAACAACAGTTACTGAAGATTTAGATGGGCTTCCTTTCTTGATAGTTCCCTCCGTATTTCTATAGTTGCCAGAGGATATTAGGATGAAATCCTGAATCAATTCGACTAGAAAAAGGATAAATGAATTTAAGCTAATTTCTATTTTTTAAAGAACCTACAACCTTTTAATGCTAGTTAAGAGTAAGATTGAGTATATATTTCACATATTTTCATTCAATAATTTTGATGATTTTTCTGTTCTATTTTATTTTGCATCTTCAAGATAAACTTCCTTAATGGGGTACATAATCTCACCGTATATTATGAATGCTTTTGGAAGAAGCATGCAGGTGATCCTTGCGGAAAAAAGTCAATGTTGTCAAAGAAATTAAAGTACCCTCTAGATCTTGATCATATAGTTTTCCTTTAGCTATAAGTGGCTATTATTTGTCGTTTAGTTATAGTTGAATCGGCTTAGAAGGGATATCACTTGTCGTTTAGTTATATTTTGATCGACCAAGATGTGGATATCACTTATCATTTAGTTATATTTGGATTGCCTTAGATGGGTTTTTCACTTGTAGTTTAGTTATATTTGGACCGGCTTAGATGGGAATATCACTTGTTTAGTTATATTAGGATTGGCTTAGATGGAGATATAATTTTGTCAAATTGTCTTTAGAAAGATTTGGTTCTTTTTCTCCTTCTCTATTCCCCTCACCTGCCCCCTCTATAAAAACTCTGTTTGATATATAGATTGCTATACGATCCTAGGTTGTTTAATTCTGAGAAGGTGCTTGAAAATGATGATTTTTTGGGGTAAAATATTATGTTAAATTTAGGTTCTCCTTCTCTCTCTATTTTTCTTAAGTTATCGTTTTGTAAGTTATGTTATACTTTCGTAATTACTGCACCAAGTGTTTGTGCTATCTAGATTATGCATGTTAAGATAGTAGCTTTAGTTCTATCGGATAATTTTGTGAAGTTAACTAAACCGTTTTATGTGTCTTTGATTTTTTTAAACTAATTTGAGTTATACGACCAGGGATCTTTCTCATCGAGGTCTACAGTGCCAAGTTCTAAACTTGAGGTCTTCGCATTTTCGAAAGCTCAACTTGGTCGGTGAATTTATGTGGCTGCACTCCCTTAACCTTGACTATAGCACTACTCTCAGTAGCTTCCGGGAGGATTGTTTTTCTTGCATGCCGAATCTGATTTGTCTCTCAATGTGTGAGACCAGAATTTCCAACTTATGGACTACAATTGCAGCAGTTTCCAAACTTCAGTCATTGGAGGAGCTTAGGTTTCAAAATTGGTTATGCTGCAATGATGTTGGATCCTCTGGATCATCCATTGGTTATTATCAGACTGGACCCAGTCAGCTGAGCAGTGCATCTTTACCTGGGCTGGCAACTGCTAGTCTTGATTTACTTGTAGATCTTGATGTCATGACTGAACATGCAATAAGAAATTTGCTTCCATTCAGTATGAATCAGAATTTTCAAAGCACAAATGAGGACTCTTCAGATGATAGCGAAATAGATTTTTCTATTCACATAGAGAATTCTGACATGGACTTGTCATCCAATCCACCTCCTGGGTGGAACAGAGAAATTAATCATATAAGTGAGGTGAATCTATGGCCTCTAATCACTGGTTTCTTGATCTGTTTTGATGATTTGTGAGGTATTAAGGTGCTAAAAAAAAGGAAGTTATTAGTTTCTCCAAAGTTTGAAGTTATTTTAACGCTGGTAGTTATTATTTTTAGTATATTATTATCATTTCATAATCTTTGTCATAATATTAGGTGGTAATTCCTTTATTTTATAGGTTGGAAATGAATGAGAATATGTTGGGATTTATTTGTGGTGTTCAATCCAAATGCTTTAGATTGGGGAATGCATGAGGATATCGTGTTAGGATTTAGTTATGGTGTTCAATCTAAATTCCTAATTGAGTGATTGACTGTGAGAGTTGTTCTCTGGAGGTGGAGCAATGGATTATCCTTGTCTTGTTTAATGTCGTTCTGATTCATTTGACAGGTTTCTTCTGTTGCATTATCAAATCAAAATGGAGAAGAGTCTTCTGAAGGTGCTTCCTCAAGGAATGTTGCAGATGTTTCGTTTAAGTACATTTCTGAACATGCTTCACCGATATGCTTTCAGAAACATTATAGGGAATACATGATAGCTTCAATACCGCAGTTGAAAGTTTTGGATAACTTACGTATCAGAAATATTGACAGAGAAATGGCTAATGTAACTTTTTTTAAACATTTTGAATACCTTCCTTATAGAAGAAACGATAAAGAAAATGTTGTTAGTATATTGCTGAAGCGTGAACTTAGAGCAAAGCACTCTAACTTACGAATACCAAAGCAAATGCCATTGGATCCTGCTGGGAAGTCGCAATATTTTTATACCCGATCTCTCTGTGCTGCAAAAATGGGGTCTTCAGCTTGGCCATGTCTGCATTCACTGTCTTTCACAGGCAGCAATGTGGGAGGTGAAATCCAGAGCTTTCGTCCAAGGCAGTTTGAGTATCATCCAACTAACTCCGGCCTAATGGTCTTTGGAACTTTAGATGGTGAAGTGGTTATTGTTAACCATGAAAAGCAGAAAATTGTTAGTTACATTCCTTCACTTGGAGCAATGAATAGTGTGTTGGGGCTCTGTTGGCTCAAGAAGTATCCCTCTAAGGTGAGTAAATACCATGATGTACTCCTAAGAGGTTAAATTCTAGTGCTCTCTAATTTCATAAACGCATTTCCCTATAAAACTTTATTTCCTTTTCCTTTTATGAAATTTATTGTTTTAGTAGAAAATTCACACTTACCGCTTTTAGAGATCTTAACAATTCTTTTAAATTTCATCCGTCCATGCCAACTCATTGAGTTATGGACTGTATTAAAATCTTTTCCTTTACCTTTTTCATTCAGCTGATAGCTGGTTCAGATAATGGCTCACTGAAGCTGTATGATGTTCAGCATTTCCCATCAACTTCCAACAGAATGCATGGTGGTTATGGCTCTGTCAACTTTGAAGAGTTTGACCAATTAACATCTGTTCATGTTAACTCTACGGATGAACTCTTTCTTGCAAGTGGGTACTCAAGAAACGTGGCTCTGTACGATATCAACAGCGGAAGACGGCTCCAAGTGTTCACTGATATGCACCAAGAACACATTAATGTAGTCAAGTTTTCGAACCATTCCCCAAATATTTTCGCCACTTCATCATTTGATCAGGATGTTAAAATGTGGGATTTGAGACAGAAGCCAACAACGCCATGCTACACAGCTTCAAGCTCTAAAGGAAATGTGATGATCTGCTTCTCTCCAGATGATCACTATCTTCTCGTCTCAGCCATTGACAATGAGGTAATTTTTGTAATAAATAATAGTATTAGTTTCAGTGTCCGTGGTAAACTTTTTCCTTGTATTCAGACATTGAGTTTCATACTTGGTCTATGAGTAAACTGTAAACCTGGTCCTTAAAAATATGGACTCGAAAATAATTGTTTGATCAGTATATAAAACCAATGTTTGGTGAGAATAAATTTAGATAGAAATTCCTTCTACGATTTTACTGCTTTCGGGAAAGATATTCCGTGAGTAAAGCTTGTGGTTTTCTTATGATAGTCATTTTCGTTTTTCACACATATTTCATTTTAGAGTTGCTTCTTACGTGTGCAAGAGGGTGGATTCAAGTTAAGCAGTCACTAATGCAAAGTTAGCTGACAGGTCTTACAGATTTCCACTTCAGTAGGGTCATAATTTGGGTACGGACTCTCGTGGTTGTGAAAGTGCCACCATATTGTACTTCTACGAGAATCTATAACTTGACAATCATTGGCCAAGACTTGCAAAACTCAATTGAAATGTGCCTTTTTTTTATCATTGCATTTGGGCCTTTTGGTTCAAGTTGGCTATCTTCTTTCTACAATTTAAAATTTGCATTACGTTCTATTTTAATTGTAATTTGTAAACATTTATTCCTTTTCTAAGTATATGCCATTTAAATGAAGCCTTTACTTTGATTTTCATATTGAAGTACATATTAGTATTATTTAACATGTTGACATTGACAGGTCAAACAGCTTCTGGCTGCTGATGGTAGCCTTCACCTGGAATTTAATATACCTTCTACTGGAAGCTCGCAGAATTACACTCGCTCCTATTATCTAAATGGTAAAGATTATATTATCAGTGGGAGCTGTGACGAACATGTTGTTCGTATCTGCTGTGCTCAAACTGGGAGGCGTCTCAGGGACATTTCCTTGGAGGTAACGTGCCTTTAAATTTGCACATGTTTTGGCCAATATCAATGATCTCTAATTTACGAAATATAGATCAGTGTAGAGACACTTGCCCAGCATAGACCAAAAATTGTAAGCTTCGGAGAGGTCAGTGTTTGTGTGTATCACCAAAAAGAGAGGGATATTAATGCATTTCACTTATGCAGGGAAAAGCTCCAGGGAGTTCAATGTTTGTGCAATCATTGAGGGGGGATCCCTTTAGGGTAAGTTCACTTTTTGTTTAAAACTTAATATATTTTGAATTTTTTTTGCGAATACTCGTTTTCTCGATTAGTTTACGTTTTGTTTTGCTCTTTGTTAAATGGAGCATTCATTACATGTCTAGGACCATGCCCTCTGCAGTAAATAAGATGTAGGTTTACCATGTTTGTCGTTCTTATAATTTATAAATCATTTAAAGAGCAGCCTGTCTTCTAGGAAGTTTCCTATATTAATAACAATCCGAATTGAATCATGTTTCAGCTTGTTGGACCATGATAACTAAATCCATATATTTTAGTGACTATCATTATATCTTATGGGTGAAATATTGTTTTTGGTGGTCTACAAACTTGGCATTTCCATTCAAGGTAGAATCTAACACTTGTTATTATCAATTTCAAATGTTCCCAGCCTTTCAACATGAGCATCCTGGCTGCCTATACTCGACCAAGCTCGAAATCCGAAATAGTCAAGGTATAGTATATCTCGGCGTGTTTTCTTTATATAGCAGGGTGTCTTGATCTTGAAAGTGATGGCGAGATCCCTTCTTTTCAGGTCAATTTGCTGGCTTCTTCAGTGTGTAGCAAGGAATCTTCTCCTGGTGGGAGCGCCTTCCCTTTCGATAATATGGGAGGTTAATTTGTGTAACACATACAAAAGCTCCCTTTCAATATGTTGAACAATCACAGTTCACAGGTTAGAACAGAGTAAATATTAAACTAACAAATATAAGCATTGTAAAATATATATAAGGATTATTTTCAAATATACAGACAATAAAGCTTTGTAACTTCACAAACTGAATTAAAAAATCGCCACGTGTCAATATGTGGCTATTTTTTAAATCTGGTTTGTGAAGTTAAACAGCTCAATTGTTAGTATATAGAATAAGAATCCAATATATAAATAATAATCTAAGTAACTTGAGTTGGACCGTCGGTTACTTTGGAACCTGTTCTTGAAAATGCAACCGTTGGGACTTTAATCCTTTTCTCATTGTTCTAAAGTCATGAATTCTTACAAGCTATATTAATTATTGTGCCAATGGTTATTGATATTTTTGTACTAAACTTTTCTGTTATTACTAATCATGCATGCACGTAACACATGATTTGTCATTTTCATTCGTTAACAAGTTTAATTTGCATGCTTTAGAGCCGGAAACAAAGTTAAATTTGTGTTTTTAAATTCGATTTAACTTAAATTCAGTCAAGTTTATTTAATAAAAATTACTTTGATTTTCTCAAGTTAAAAAAATAGGGTAAGGTACACTAGAAATTATTAAATTATATCAAAATGATTTTTTTCTCTCATTAAATTTTTATTTGATATAAAGTAGTCATTAAACTTATTTTGTCATAAAATGGTTATTGTAAAATATAAATAATAATAAATTGCAATAAATTTAAGGATTTTTAAACCGTCACTATACAAGAAAAATAATATAATATTTTTAATTGAAAACAAACAATTTAAGAGATTAACAATGATTAAAATTATGTAATTTTAAATTAGGAAAGGTTAAATTATTGATTTGTTTTAGATTGAAATTAAATTGGTAAATTCTATAAGTTTTAAGGATTAAGATTATTATTATTGTATTAGATTATATTACTATTTAATTTAAGTTTAATGATATTAATTTGAGTGGCATGTCTAAATAAAATATTTAAAATCATATAAATCCATAATAAAAATATTTTTAGAAATCAACATAAAAAAATGTCAAACCCATATTCCCATATGTAATGGGATATGGGAGGTAGGTAGTAGGCTGCCCAACGCCAGGTTGAGAGCAGATTCCATGAAAGATCTCCGGCAGTTAGAATTATGAATTGCCCACGGTGGGGTTCGATCCTACGACCACAAGGTTAAAAGCCTTGCACTATACCATTCTTAAATTATAATTTAAATATTAAAATATTTAAATCATTAAATCATATTGTTTTAATCAAATATTTCTGTCAATCAAGTCATAGATTCGAATATTAAATAAAACTTAAATATGCTCATAATTGTCAGTTTAAGTATTAAATATTAATTTAAATTTGACACCGATATATACAAAATACATTAAATAAAGTTTAAATATTATACATTAATTATACAGATAACTTAGATAAGACGTATTAAAAAAATAGTTCAATTGTTCAAGATGATAATTAGGCCAATAAAAGAAGTAGATTAAAATGATACTAATAGTTTGAAATTAAAATATTTTTAAGTTTTAGCACCAATATAGAATTTAGGTATAATTTGTGGGAGGTCTAGAGCAATTAACATTTTCCTTTTACCCAAATTTCTAAACATAAACGGCGTCGCTTTCATCATTAGGCCCGGTATATTCAGAAATTGAAGCGAAAAAAATATCCCCATCTCTCACGCACTCTCCGCTTCCCAAATTCAATTTTCTGATTTTTGAAATTCCAGCGAGGGGGAGAGACTGACAGAGATCAATGGATAATTCAAAGATTCAAGAGGTAACTTCAATTTAAATCCATAAGCTTTCCTTTTCAGGTTGTGGATCTTTAATTTGTCTTCTATTTTTTTTGTTCAGATCCTGGAGAAGCAGGTATTGACGGTGGCGAAGGCTGTGGAGGACAAGATCGATGAAGAGATTGCGGCGTTGGATCGAATCGACGACGACGATCTGGAGGCTATCAGAGAGCGGAGATTGCAGCAGATGAAGAAAATGGCGGAGAAACGGAGCCGTTGGATCGGTTTAGGCCACGGCGAATATTCTGAGATTCCAGCTGAAAAGGACTTCTTTTCTATCGTTAAAGCTAGTGAGCGAGTTGTCTGCCACTTCTACCGCGAAAACTGGCCCTGCAAGGTACTCGCCTTGTATATATCGTCTTCTTTTTTCTTTCATAGTTATTTGAAAGTCTAATTATGAATTTCGTTCGAATGCTTTTTGAAATTTGAGAAGTTAGTTTTATACAATAATTTGTTAAATTTTGGTTGTCATATTGTTCTAGAATTGAGAAATAAGACATGAGTCACGATGTTAGAGAACACAAACTTGAACTAAGGGCGACTAAAACTCGATTTTTCCGACTTGACTTGAATTCGAGTTGTAATTTCATAAACTCGATTATAAAATGCAACTCGAATAACTCGAATTTTATAGTAATTAGTGGATTGATTTTCAAGTTTGAGTTGAATCTCTCGACCCACTATGATATATGTATATGACATATGAAAAAATATAAAGAAATAGATATTATTCTATATGATTATAGAAAACCATTTGAATTGGAAGCAAATAGTATCATAATATTATAAATATTTACAATTAAATTTAAACATAAACTCGAAAAAATCAATCCGACTCGAAAAATTTCAAATCAAGTTTGAGTTATAAAATAAGACTCGTCAATTCGAATAACTCAAAACTTTATAATTCGACTCGACTTGATCGAACGATCACCCCTAACTTGAACTATTTGTGGTTGTTAATATGTTCCATATTAAACTAATTGTTTCTGACAAATTAAAGTAAATAATTTGTCGGTTTCCATAAAGTAAAGGGCTGAATTCATAATTGAACTTTATTCTAATTTCCTCATTAAACACTGAAATTATCTGAATAAATAAGAAAAAAATGGGGAAAGAAATGAACTAATGGAATCGAAAAGAAACTAATTAGTATGACTTTTTTCTTCATTATTTTGAAGTAGATTTGGAGATTAAGATAAGGCAAAACAATTCATCTTGTTTGAGTTGAATCGCAGGTGATGGACAAGCACTTGAGTGCATTGGCAAAGCAACATATAGAGACCCGTTTTGTAAAAATTCATGCTGAGAAAAGCCCATTCTTGGCTGAGAGGCTCAAGATTGTTGTTCTTCCTACACTTGCCCTTATAAAAAATGCCAAAGTCGATGATTATGTGGTATTGTTAATCTTATTTCCAACATCTAAGTTATAAATGTTAAAACATCTGATTTTTTTATCATTTTGGTTCCACGGTCGCTAATAGTTGACGAGGGTTTCTCTTGCAGGTTGGATTTGATGAGCTTGGTGGAACGGATGAGTTTTCCACTGAAGATTTGGAAGATAGATTGGCTAAAGCTCAAGTCATCTTCTCCGAAGGTGAATCATCATTGAAGCCTGGAACACAGAACAAAAGGAGTGTCCGACAAAACTATAACCCGGACTCCTCCGACTCAGATTAACTGCAGGTTTGTTTCAATTCATAAGCTTTCTATGTATGTTTTTCAAATGGACGTCAGTAGGATTCATCATCATCATTCCATCTTTTTTAAGTATTAAAAGCAAATTAAGAGAGTAATATTTGTTGTATGAGATCATTCAGTCATTTTGATATATACTTGATCTAATTTTGCTGTAATTTTTATATATGCCAAAATGGTTAACTGCTACATGATTGTACTATTTATACTCTTATCCATTTCGCATCGAATCATACACCGGGAGAGCTGAGTTAACCGTTATTCCATTATTATTTACAGATTTTGCTAATGAGTATCTTGAGAGCAACTTTTGAGGTTATTATAAATACTATGCCATTGGAAACTTCATCTTGGTTCTTCAAATATAATATGCCATCAATCCATTTTTCAAAGATTTACTTTTTGTACTTAGAAACTTCAATTTATATATATATATATATATATATTTTGGAAAACGTCAATTATTAGGTAAGTTCTTCCTATCACATCATATGGTCATTACCAATAATATCGTGCCACGTAAGCATTTTTTTTACACATCGGCTCTTCATCTCATCCTTAAACCAAAACCATCTGCTAAGCTTGTGCCTCTTTCTTGTTGTTCTCCTCCGTTTCTAAGTTCTAACAACCATCCTCGCCGATATGAGAGAAATAATTATTGCTCCATTTTACATGCTTTATTTGATGTGTCATTGGTTATGTGAACCAGTTCATTGCTAGGTTCAGAACTTGTGTTTGCTTGATGCTGTTAGTACCAAATTCTTGTTACTGCTTGATTATCTGTGGAAGAACCATTGATGGAAGCCATGGAACGGCTTCAAGACGCTCAACGATCAACAATGCTCACTAACCTTTGGCCAGCCTTTACCAACAATGGTAAATTTTCTTTGTTCACTGAACAAATATTTGAGTTTCCTCATTGACAATGGAAAATTTTCTTAAAGATAGTCACATGGCATAATATTATGAAGAGCTGAGGTGTAAAAAATGCTTACATGGCATAATTATTGGAAAATATTAATGATTTAATTAGAATATTTAAATGGAAAAGATAAAATGATTTAATTTATAATTTTTTTTAAGTATATAGACTAAATTTCAAACATACTCATAGTTTTAAATTTTAATTACCTTTTTTTCATCATGAATGTTTTTATTATCTTATTAGCAATGGTTAAAGTTTTATTTTATTCTTCTTTTTATTTTCACACGTGCCATAATACTAAGTATTTATAAGGATGATTATCTAATAATATTTTATTCATTACATTAATAAATAGAAATATTTTTTTAATAAACAATGCTCGATTTGATATTATTATAAATGGTATAGTAGTAAATTTTGATTGAAAATAATGATTATAATTACAAGGATAATACTAAATTTGTCAGTATAAGTATTTTAGGAATTAGGCATTCAATCGTGGATGATTTTAACGTAGCAAAATCTAGCACTCGTACTAACAAAGCATTACTTAGGGTTTGTTTAACATCTTTTTAACATGATTTAGTTCTTTTTTGAAGAGACAAATTTAATTAAAAATAAATATTAATTTGACATAAATAAATAAATGACGATTTACAGATAATAACACCTTTAACTATTATTCATTTTGTTGATTAAATTATAATAATAAATAGTATTATAATAATAACAACACTAACCAACGTGCTCTGTGCTCACCACGACAACCGTTTATCATCGGTAAGGATAAAAGTTCCATCACCTCCATTTGGTACTCATGTCCTATAAGGTAGTGTCCCAGCAACAAACACCTTCATGGAAGAATTTAGGGTATCAGAACTTGCTTAGATATTGTGTATCTGGAAATAATTTCATGCCATTCTAACGCATTACACATGGAATTTTCCATATGCTCATGTAATCGGTTTCGTTTCAAATCAATATTGCATTCGGAATTTAAACAATATCGATAATAATATTACGAGCACCTGCAAAAAAATTGGAACGGAAACGATTTCTTTGGACACCATAAACCAGATTTCATTTTGTATATTTTGGAAGTGCATAAAATACTGGGATTATAAGGGAGTGGGTAAAAAATGAAGAGCAGAACTGACCAGAAGAGAAGACGAGCAAGATAGTCTCGAGCAGGGGCGGACCTCCATGGAGCCCGGGGTATCCCGGCAACCTATCATCCAGGGGTGGACCTTCATGATGCCCGGGGTATCCCAAGTAAGCCCTCCACAAGTGTCACCCCTGGGGCTACGAAGGCTCATGGGTCCGTCTCTGGTCTCGAGTTAAGGAAATTGACGGCTGGAGCGAAGTATCCTCAACTACTTCGGAACAATCTTTATTTACAGTTCCACTTGCAGTTCTCTGACATAGGAGTGACCTTGGAATGCATCCTTGGAGAAAGGGTGGCAAGGAGACCATGGACTACAGAGTGGATAGTTTCTTTCAATTCAGGGTATGCTGGTTCGGAAAGTTCGGCTACCTGAAATTATGTTACAATTTTATTAGCCATGACGGTTGAAGCTACGACAGAAGTTCGTTAAAGGAGATTCAAGTGGCAGACTAAGCATTAGCTAGACTGGTTCATAAATATCAATTCCTATACAACTTCAGCCATGAAACTGTGAAGTGCTTTTTATTTATGCCAAATTTCCCTTCATATTAACGGAGAAAAAGCAAAGAACTTGAATGGTATTATTTGTAAAGAGACTTTACAAACATGGCATCACGTTAATGGGATATTAGTTAATTAATTTGTTCTAAAAAGTTGAAGAGATCGAGGGAAACCTTTTCCGGTTGAAGTGATCTTAAGTAGTCAAGTAAATCATTCCTTTCTTCCCCAACAAACTGTTGCATTTGCAGAGCATCACTGTTCCTCTTTGCTTCATGCAGTTCCTTTTTAATAGAGGAAAAAAAGAGAAGGAGATATGAGCATGCATCCCACTAAACTGATGATAAGGAATCGAATCGACCAAATTGAAATTTATAATAAATTCATATTAAATGAAAAGGAAACTGAGAGATATTCACCAATTTAAAGAAGGTTCATTTCTTTGGTGGAGTATAAATAGCATAATGCAATCTGTAAAATTCAATCATTGATCAAACATGGAACATTTCTGGACTGTAAATTTTGAAAAGCCGGACATTTCCGTACCATGGCAATTCTTCAATGGTAGTTAACTCTCGAAACATACAACTAATGGAGCGATGTTGGGAGAAAGACATTTAAAATCAGAAATAATTTTGATCATAGAAGAGACTGTGACATTTAATAATAAAAAAGGATTAGGAAGGCTCCTCTATATACTATATAACATACCTTTTTCACTGAAGCTAGACGAGATTGCAAGTGGAGAATGTACTTGAGAGTTTCAGGGGACATTTGACCCAGGCCTTCAAATTCAAAATCTTTGAAGTGGTTCTCAGTGATTTTTTCAAATTCAGTTGACAAACTCGGAATTTCTTTTACTTTTGTACTGTCGGACAACATCTCTTGTACATCAAAGTTTGACTTTTCTGAACTTCGATGTTCCAAACCTTAACCATAGGCAAGGTTTCTATTAGAGGAAGAGGCATACTGCATATTAAGCTTGCATTGGTGATCAATACCCCCTCATCACGTGAGAGTTTGGAGGAAATAACCATAGGTGTACTGCAGCCAGCAGCATTTACCATACCAGTTTTCTCTAAGAGCTCCTTAACAAATTTCTTGACTCAAGACAACATTCTGACCAGATCGTTTGACTTCAATTCCCAAGAAGTATCGTAACTCCCCTAGATCTTTCAGTGAAAATCTGTCCTTGAGTATAGCCACAACTTCTTCCACATCAGTCAACGAACTTCCTGTAATAACAATGTCATCGACGTATATGAGTACGTATATGAAACCTTGAGGTGAACGTTTGTGAAATAAAGAGGGGTCAGCACGAGACACCATAAAATCCATTTGTACCAGATTTTGTTTTAATTTATCGTGCCAATTCCTGGGTGCCTGTCGCAGCCCGTATAATGCCTTTTGAAGTTTGTAAACAAACGGCTTACCATGTTCATTTACTTTCTCGAAACCGGGGGGTTGCTGCATGTACACTTCTTCGAGCAAATCCCCATTAAGAAAGGCATTATTAATGTCTACATGCCTTAGAGTCCAGCCATTGTTGACTGCAACTGCAAGGATTGCATTAAAGGTCGAGAACCGAATGACAGGGCTGAACGTTTCTTTGAAATCACAACCAGGTATTTGCGAGAATCCCTTGGCTACTAAACGTGCCTTATAACGCTGCACCGAGCCATCTGGATTGTGCTTTACTTTGAACAGCCATTTGCACCCAACAACACTTCGATCATCTGGCAAGGTAGTTAAAATCCAAGTATTATTTCTTAACAGAGCATCATACTCATCACAAGCTGCTTGTTTCCAGTGTTCCATCTGAAAAGCCTCGTGTATTGAGTTGGGGACATAATCATCGTAAGTCGCAGCATATGCCTTTGGTTTGAACACACCACATCGGTTGCGAGTCATCATGTGGTGAATTCGTTGAGGTGCACATGGCTCATCATTAGAAGCAGGAGCAGTTTCTTGAGGTGCTAAGTCTAGCTCAGCATTAATCACATCGTCCTGGTTAGAGAGCGGATCAGAATCATCATTAGTAGGCTGAGTAGAGAAAGAATTCTCATGTTAATGCACGGCAGGAGAACCTGCACTGCTAGAGGACTCCAAGGGCGAAGGCTCCAAGGGCGAAGACTCCAAGGGCATCGAAACTTCATTACCATTGACTGCATTATTAGAAATTTCAACATCATTCCTTGCATCATTTGATATTGATTGGGAGACTTGATGATGCGTGGCCTGGAACAAAGGCTGTCTGGAATCTGCCACTATACTTAGCGATGGTGACAACGTGGAAGGTGCATTCAAGATATGTGCATCAGTATTAGTATCAGCACCTGAAAAAGGAAACACAAATTCGTTAAAAACTACATGACGAGAAGTGTACACTCGACCATCTGGGGCCAGGCATAGATAGCCTTTATGTTGTGGGCTTACACCAAGATACACACACGCTCTTGACCGAAAAGCAAGTTTGTGATTCAGAAATGGTCTCAAGTTAGGGAAACATTGACAGCCAAATACTCTCATCATCCTATAGTCAGGTTTTTTATGCATGAGCTTTTCAAAAGGTGGCATCCCTTGAAGAACCTTACTACGTAACCTGTTAATCAAATGAACTGCAGATACAACTGCATAAGACCAATACTTGATTGGCATGGCAGATTG